CAGCAGGAAGAAGAGCACAAGGTTTTGAGAACTTGAGTTTTCATTAGGTGTGAACCCTGGCATCAAGAGGAACCCACTGCTGGACTTCAGAGCGCGCACTGGTCCCTGCAAAGGCTAAGGAATCCCTGGCTCCTACCTGTGTGCGACATTTCAGAGATGACAGGAGGGTGAACTTTTGATACAGATAACAGATGGACCGCTGCAGAAGCCAGGCTCTTTGGCTAAAAGAGACTGCCTAGGCAATCACTGAGCAGCTCCCTCCTCTCTGGTGCATTTATTTCTTTTTTTTTTTTTTCTTTTTTCTATCTTCTATTCCATCCAGCTGTATACGTGCTTGTATTAAGTCCCTTTGTGAGCAACATTCCTGTAGGGCTTTGTAAGATCCCTTCACCTCTCCACCCCTAAAATTGTTATTCCATCCCCATCTGTCTGACTGGGTGAGAAGACACTGTCATCTTCGATCTCATCATTTGTTCTGCAGGCTGGCTCTGTGTTGGTTTGAAGGCTTGGCTCATTTCCTTCAAAGTGTTTCTGCTCTGGTTATGGATTGCGACATGAGACAGAAGGTAAATATACTAAGTAAGAAGGAGATGTTTTGAAGCAACACATAACAGTGGACTCCGAGGGGAAAATGAGAGTGCTGCCTGGTGTTACTGCAGCTTTATGGAAACTACCTTCTTCCATCCCTCGATGGGAGAAGGGAGTCTGTGGGAGAGTAGACAATTCTGCTAACAGCTTTTTTGGTAGGTAGCATCTTGGTTGGTTGTGTCGCTCATAGCTTAGCGATCCTGTCTCCTCTCAACCCAGTTGCTGTGGAGCTGCCTGACTGTAGATCTGTTTTCTCAAGCCAGGAAGCCAAGGAACAGTTCAGTCGCTGCGTATGTAGGGAGAGGGAGAGGAGGTGTTGGAGCTGTCTGGTTTTGGGGTAGATGACCTGCACTGGCAGGTGAATGAATGTGTTAAAGGTGCTCTGCAAGAATGCCACTTGTTCCTCATCAGCCTGCAACTGTATTATTGCCCGGACTTGAGCTTCAGTTGAAATCACAAGGTTTTGGTGGTGATGGTTTCTGTTTTTTTGTTTTTTTGGTTTGTTTTTTTTTTGGGGGGGGGGTGTGGGATGTTGTTGCTTTTTGTTTTTAAACCTTTCGTGTGTGTTGTTGGCCCTGCAGCAATGTGAAAGGTCTGGCTGGAAAAACCTGGGGCCATGGCACAAGAGTTACAGGTTGGGCCTAAGATGCAGAAGCAGAGATAAGAGCCTTGTCCTAGCTACTGATATTTTCAGACGTGCGTGGCAACTTGCATGGCAAGCAGCTGGGGGATGTTGGCTGAGCGATGCAAATTCACGGTGCGCTGCTGTGCGTTCTCTCTGAGGAACGGAGGGATGGTGCGTGGTGCCAAAAGGTAGCAGGGTTGGGGGTGTCCCTTGAGATCCCTGCCGTATCTGCTGTGTGTGCTCCTGATTACGGGTCCCAGTTTGAGGTGAAGACCATGTCCCTCTTTCTATAAGCAGCAGATAACTGAGGAGCAGCTGCACTTGGAACGTGGCTGTGCAGAAAGAGTTACTGACTTACTGCATGTCCCTTATTTCCTCCCACCCCTTTTCATCTCGTGAGCAATCCTTTCTAAGGAGGTACAGGGGACACCTCTCTTGCTTCCTGCCTCTCGCCGAACATACTAAGAGGTTTCTGACCTCTTCCCTGGCCGTAATGCGAAGAAAAAGGCCCCCAGCTGGACCGTGCTGATTGTTCCTCTGTGACCTTCTGACTGTTTGGAGCCTGACCCTTGGCATTTAAATTCACACAAAGACCTTGCCTCCATGTGAGTTGTCTGTAAATATTTCCATGGCGCATATGCGTTTTGTGGTGCCTGCTGAGATGAACTGGAGCTTGGCAACCCTGGAGGCAAGGATGCTGTAGGCTAGCAGGTTTGTGATCTTCTCGGATCTCATCCTGCTGGCGCTTGGGAAGCTGAAGGCAGAATGACCTCCTGGGCTAAACGAACCCCTGCAGCGGAGGTGGCCAGCCTCTCTGTCCCTCTGAGTTACACGCACGGAAATCAATCGTGTGCCTGTGAGCTGAACGAGCTCTGGAGCATTTACAGGTTTGAGATAAGTGGTTTCTCAGAGTCCTGCTCCTCCTGGCTGGGAGAAAGCAGAGCAGAGCAGGTCGCAGATCGTTTCCCTGGCAGTGCCTGACCCTGTTGTGCTCGCTTTCTCCCACAGGCAGAGACTGGTTACTACTTCTCAGCCTGTCAGCGTAGCTTTGTCCCTTGTCCCTTAGCGAGCTCTGGCGTGGGAGATTCCATTTGAACTGCTTACACCGAGACGCTCGCAGCGGCGTTCTCCCAGGCAGCCTGGACTTTGGAGTGCAGATTAGGAACAAAGGACCTTGGACTAATGTAACAGTTCCATACCTTGGTCCAGCCCACTACAATATAGCAGGGCTAAAGTGCTAAAGTAAATTTTATTTTTGCACTCACTCCAGAGGGAACTGGGATGGTTCAGGACACTAAAAGGGTTGCAAGGCTGTTTTTTTGGTTTTGTGGGGTTTTTTGTTTTGGTTTTTTTTTTGTTTGTTTGTTTTTTGGTTGTGTTTTTTTTTTTTTTTTTTTTTTTTTTTGGGGGTTTTTTTTTTTTTTTTTTTTTTTTTTAGGAGGAGAATGCAGCGCTGAATAGGAAGTTCGCAGTGGTGGTACTCTGCATAGCAATGGTGACTTTTTCTTTAAGGACATGGCTTTTGTTTACCATCCCGCTTTCTTCCTGAGAGGATTTACCTTGTGAATGCCTTGGGAGATGGGAAGCATAAAGTAACAGGATATCTAAAAGGCTGGAAGGGTTGCGAGTTTCAGATGCGTACTTTGGAGCTCTCCTTTTAATAGCTCTGAGAATTAGCAAGAAGCCCTTGCTCCCTTTTACACTTCCAGCAAGGGCAGACTGTTGTGATCTCTTGTGCACTAAAGGACAATTTCTTTTCTGAGTATTTTCTTGCTGAGCTTGTTATTGGCCACGCTGGTAGAAAAATGTTAAACCTAGGCATGAGTCAGTCAGTCCTCGGCTCGCTGTGTTGGTAGCTGCCTAGATCCGTGTGTCGGAGCAGCAGGAGCAGGCTGCATTTGACAGGTGACGTGTGTGGGCTGTGTGTGCGTGGCCTTGAGGCAAGGACCAGTATCTCACCAGTAAAACTGTATGCGTGTACCTGGCTGTGCAGCAAACGGTGCCCTGCTGGCCCTTGAATGGTTTTCCCGGTGTGAGAAGAGAGGACCCAGAGCTGGTCAGAAGCAGGGAGGGATTTTGGTAATAGCTGGCCTTGATGTTTCTCCACCCAGACTTGGAAATGAGTTTATCCTGCTTTAACCATGACCTTTTAAGAGGCATTTTGTTGTTTTACAAATAGTGTGGACCTCTGTGGACCAGGGCAGCTCTTAAGGGGCCAGGGTTCTGATGTTGCTGCTGTTGTAGAGTTAAACCCTCCGTGTCCAAATGCCAGCACCCTACTGTTTGGTGACTATACTAAGACCTGTGTGCCATTAGATACACCCTGTGAACAGTGGCTTGGCGCTCTTTAACTCTGTCTTCTTACATCATGCTTTTTTGTAGGCAAGTCACAGGTCCCCGCATCGACGGTTTCTCCATTTAACTTGTCCTCAAATGACAAAAGTCACTGGTGAGCCTGAGCTGGCGCTGCTTGCGACTCCTAATCACATTGCAGCCTTCACGCTATGATGGTGCTTTTTTTTTTTTTCTTCAAAGTAGGTTGCTTTCAAGTGTCTTAATGAAACCATTTTGCTGTAAAATTTCTTCTGAAGATAAAATGGATACTGCCTCACTGCCTAATGTCTTAATAACGTGCTTGGTTTTTTCCTTCTATATGAATGTATATTGCCTCATTAGGGTGGGAAGCGTGTGTGATTATGGATGTGTTTTCCTGTATTGCTTTCAGTGAAGACCTCTACAGTTTCCTAGGATTTTCTTCCACTATCAGGATGTTTGTACAGTGAAAATCTTTCTGCGGACAGGTGAGGCGCTTTCTGAAATGTGAAAATTCAGCCTCCCAAGATCTTGTCTTTATGGACCTCCTCTAATGATAATGTGAAGAATGATGGGCTCTGGAAGAACTGTCTGCCTTGGAGAGTGGGGTGTTTTGGGGTTTTCTTTTTTGTTGTTTGTTTTTTTTTCCACCCTAAGCTTTAGGAAGAAACTTTGTGAAACATATTTGTGAGCTTTGAAAGGACTGGTGCGTGCGTGTGTGTGTGTCCATTTTGCATCATAGTCAGTGTTTCCAAATGGATGCAATTATGAATCAAAATAAATGATTAGAAATGATCTGTGGAGTGGCCTGTTGATTTATGCCAACGCACTCAGCCAGGTCAAATGACCCAAAGCTGCCATCATCTCATGGCTATTTAGCTGGGAGCTGGACTTGGGAATAAGGGAGCAACAGGCTTAAGGAGAAGCTAGGAAACAAGTGTTCTTCCAGTTCTGCAAGAGTTGACCTTTGGGGTTGTTGGTGTTGGGATGAAACAGAGACCTGCTTGGCAGTTCTCGCCTCCCTGGAAACTAGGGATATTCCCCTGCGGTGGGGATTTGAACCGGGATCTGGCATTCGGAGAGCAATCCGTTATCAGATACCGAGTGTTGGCATCTGATCAGATTCCTAGCCTTTTTGTCCAGTGTCTTGCTTTCCCTCCTACACCTGCCCACACAATACAT